AGAAAATAAATTCCTTAAAGAATCTCTACTTAGTTCTACCAACAACATTGAGTTGATGAAACAAGATCTGAATAACCTAGAACAGTACTCTAGGAGAGAATGCCTTGAAATCCGAGGTATACCGGTGCTACCCGGAGAAAAGACAAATGAAATTGTTCGGAAAGTTGGTGAAGTAATTGGTATTGCAATTGAATCTAACGACATATCCATAAGTCATCGTCTGCCTGCTAATCGAAATAATAGTCGAAACACGGAACCCGCCATTATCGCCAAATTTATTCGGCGTGATATTCCAGATCAACTGTACAAGGCAAGGAAGAATCTCCGTCAAATTACAACACGAGATATTGGTATTCTCAGAACTGCTGAACGTAAAATTTATATAGCAGAAAGCCTAACCCAGGCAAACAAGAAATTATTTAACAAGTGCCTCGAATTCAAGAAACAGCAACATTATAAGTTTATCTGGACAGTAAATGGAAAGATTTTTTTACACAAAGATGAGTCTAGCCCTTCAATTGGTATCACACACATCAGAGACATTCCAATGGCTGGATAAGTACTTAGTTTATTGTATATTTAAAACTTTAATAGATATAGTGATATAATGTCATGGCTGCTAAGTTAAATTCTTTACCTTTGCTAGAGTCAGATAATTTCTATAGCTTGAATTCAAATAACAATTTATCTTATGTTGATCCAGATGTAAATTTGCCTTTACAAACTAATTTTAAGTACTATACTACCGAGGACTTTCTCCATAGCAATCAGATCCAAAGCTGCATTTCCAGTGGAAGTTTTTCTGCTCTTCATTCTAATATAAGAAGCCTTGCTGCTAATTTTGATGGCTTTGTACATATGCTTAACGAGCTAAATCACTGTTTTTCTATAATTGGTCTTACTGAGACCAAACTTAATACTTCTAGAGAGGCAATATCTAATCAATACTTACCTGGATACACATTTGTTTCTCAACCTAGTTTATCAAATGCAGGTGGCACTGGGTTTTTTATTAATGATAGTTTGAGTTATTAGTAATGATAATGATAGTTTGAGTTATTATTTTGAGTTATAGTAATGTGTATGTCTATAAAATAGTAATTAGGTACTTATATTCCTGTATATATATATATATATATATATATATATATATATATATATATATATATATATATATATATATATATATATATATATATATATATATATATCTGGATCCTAATTATTTAGTAATAATGTAAAAGCTCGAAGTATATAGACCACATAAATTAACATATAATGTCGATATTTAAAAACAAATGTTGCTATTTACAATAAAAACAATGGACAGTTTTTCCGCATTTTACAACCGATTTCGCAACCAAACTTTGCAGTTGTACTAATTTTAATGCACGCTCTTTCTAGCTGTTGTGATGGATTTCGTTTTTCTTGCCTAAATCAAAATTTAGTATGCAGCTGGAATCATCCATTGTTGAGTGCAATATTGTTCAATCTTGGTCAGTGTACCATTTTAGGGGTCAAAAAATTTTTCCGGACATACCAATTTTTTCCGGACATACAAAATTTTTCCCAAACCTAACAAAATTTTTCAAAAATCACAAAATTTTCCACAAAATTTACAGAATTTTTTCCATGATTACAATTGGTTCCCAGGTCCTTTATCTCAATTTTTCATACCAAATTTCGGAGTGGGCGGGCACTGGGGGGCACTGCCCCACCGAGTGGGGGCGGCATTGCCCCCCAGCCCCCCTTCCCCGAGCTACGGGCCTGTTACATTATGACCATGCCATTGTCAATACTCCAAATGGTCCAACAACATTTTGTTGAAAAATAGTTTGGATTTTTTGTTTTGATGTTTACTGTCGTTCCAGTTGAAGTGTTCCTCAAATATTGATTCAAAACATTACTTCGGGCTGACCAATTCATTTGATCAAGTTCCTCGAGATATTCATCTTAAATCCGATATATATTTTAAATATATATATCTTAAATATATATATCTTAAATCCGTCTGACCGTGTAGCTCAGTAGGTAGAGCGTCGATCTAGTAATTCGAAGGTCGCGGGTTCGAGACCCAGCCGCGGCAGACAACATCTTTCTGCTTGCGCTGGGTATGGAAATTATATAATACACACTCTAGAACATTTTCATCTTAACATATTACAGAGTGTACAATTACACAACTAACATAACACTTGCAGATTGAACTAGTATTGTTCGATGTTGAATTAATATAAACGAGTATGTTTATGACATTCAGTATATATTTCATAATTTCCAGTCTTAAATCCGTCTGACCGTGTAGCTCAGTAGGTAGAGCGTCGATCTAGTAATTCGAAGGTCGAGGGTTCGAGACCCAGCCGCGGTAGACAACATCTTTCTGCTTGCGCTGGGTATGGAAATTATATAATACACACTCTAGAACATTTTCATCTTAACATATTACAGAGTGTACAATTACACAACTAATATATATATATATATATATATATATATATATATATATATATATATATATATATATATATATATATATATATATATATATATATATATATATATATATATATATATATAGATATATATATAGATATATATATGTACTATTTAAAACACGCGAGTAGGAGTGTTTTATCAGATATAAATCACGAGGCGCAGCCGAGCGTTTTATATCTGATAAAACACAACAACGAGTGTTTT